AGAGAGAGAGAGAGACACACACACACACAGAGAGAGAGAGAGGGGGAGGAGTGTATGTGCATGTGCCAGTGCCTCTCTGTGTTTATCAACATCACTAATTAGCTTAATCAGAAACACCTGTGTCCTTTCAGCCTTTTCATGGAGATTAAACAGGAAAACACCTCTCAAACAAATCCTCAAAACTCCCATAACCGTAGCTCCTATTGCTCCGATATTAATAAATGAGAGGAAGGAAGAGTTGAAGAACAGATCCTGTAAAAATTGTGTCTGTAGTGTAAAAAATGTGGCTGAACTGGCGATCTAGAAATGAGGTACCGTGTTCCGTGGTAGATGTTTTTGAAGCAAAATTTGACATTGGTCTCTATGGAGCAGAAAGTTGGTTTTCCTCTCAATTACAGGCTTCTGTGCCAAATGTGTAAATCTGTGGGATTCCACAGTCATTTGTCTACGACAAGTACAAGATTAGCTACTTCTACGTCCAGAAATTATGCATGAAGAGTGAAGATTGTGGACACAGTGGCAAAATACAAATGTTTTTTTCGCAAGAATCTCAATCTGCTCTTCACTCTAGCGGTGACATCACGCACTCTAAGCTGCGCAATACACACCCATTATAAAGTCAGAAAAGGGCTGAAAAATCCTAAAAGTTAAATTGCTGCAGTTCAGAAAGTGTAAAAGATATAAAAATGCTGAATAATGTGGCAATAGATCAGGGGTTTCTCAACATTTTAAAGTTGAAATGGTGTCTGTAGCTGAAAATATGAGGAAGTTGAAGGATTTGGAAGTTTAAGAGGATTTGAACATTTTCTCCATTGAAATCCCATTCAAAATAAAAATTGCAAAAAGCTTAATAATTCATGAAGCATAAGAGATAGAAATATGAAAAGTCATAGCATAAATGTCATTGAAGAGCTGAACATTTTGATAGTTGAACTGTTTCTGTAGCTTAGAATGCTTAACAGCATTCCAACAATAAAGAGAAACAGGATAACAATAGTTGGAATGCTTAACAGCATTAATTCAATTAAGATATTTTACTGAGCAAAAACTCTGAACTGAATTTGTATCTTCAAATGGCAAATTTCTGAAATTTTTAAGGTGCTATGAAAATGTTTTTCTCAATAATTCCCCACAATGACTAATGCATATATGTTCAGGACAAAAAAAGGCTAATATCACAATATTTGAGGTGCTACAAAAATATTTTTCTCAATAATTCCATACAATAACTGATGTATATGTAATCAAGGCATCGTTGACTCCACCCATACAGAACATCAGACATTTTTACTGTACCAATATTTCAAAGTAAATGTCCTACATTTCTACTGAGAAAACGTCTAATAACTAAATATTTGAAGTGTTGTAAAAAGTATTTCCTCACTAATTCCAAACAATGAGTGATGTATATGTGTTGAGGACATCTCTGACTCCACCCATGCAGAAAATCAGATATTTTTACTGTACCAATTAGGAGATATTTCACAGTAAATGTCATACTTTTCTACAGAGAAAACGTCTAATAACTGAATATTTGAGGTGCTATAGAACTATGTCTCTCAATAATTCCAGACAATGACTGATATATATGTGTTGAGGACATCATTGACTCCACCCATACTGAAAATCAGACAATTTTATTGTACCAATTAAGAGATATTTCAAATCAAATGTCATACATTTGAATCGAGAAAATATCGAATAAATGAATATTTGAAGTGTAATAAAAAAGGTTTTCTCAATAATTCCAGACAATGACTGATAGGTATGTGTTGAAGACATCATTGACTTCTCCCATACTGAAAATTTGACATTTTTACTGTACCAATTAAGAGATATTTCAAAGTAAAAGTCATACATTTCTACCCAGACTCTGAGTCCCTGATTTCCAAATTAAATGCAAAATTTACTTTCATCTGAAAAGAGGACTTTGGACCACTGAGCAACGGTCCAGTCCTTTTTCTCCTTAGCCCAGGTAACTTAGCCCAGGTAACTTAGCCCAGGCAACTTAGCCCAGGTAAGACGCTTCTTACATCTCTGGTTCAGGAGTAGCTTGACATAAGGACAGTTGTAGCCCACGTCCTGGATACGTCTGTGTGTGGTGGCTCTTGAAGCACTGACTCCCGCCGCAGTCCACTCCTTGTGATTCTCCCCCAAATTCTTGAATGTCAAGAGGAAGATGAGAGACATCAGACCCAACAATGCAGATGATCATCATCATTTAGAAAAGAAAAATAAATTCTCTGCACCGTCTTTGTTGTGTCGTTCATTTTCGGGTGCTTCACTTCGTCACAGTGAGACTTCAATGTTCACAACTTGGGTCATCAGTACTCAAAATGCCAACACGGCAAGGGTAAGTATTTAAAGTTTTACTAGAGAAACAGCTCAATAGCGTTGCTACAGCGTCACATCTACCCAATTAGCTCATGTCCAAATTTGAGTGTTTTTGGTTAGGGTGGAAACTGTATAGCCTAGTTATTACAGAAATGCCAATATGCAGCTATAAATCAATTTAACATTGATCTTATATGACTATCTTACATAGATAGCCAACCACACATTATCTCCACATGTTTGACGTTAATTGTTGCTTTTGTAATGTAATGGGAAAATATGTCATAGTCTCACGTGAAGGTTTAAAGAATGTAAGTCCTAAAAGAGCAGACACTAAACTGTAGTTTCAGTAGATGA